TTTTTTTTTTTTTTTTCTTGTTTCTCTGGAAGTTGAGCTGTGTTGACAAATTCTTCGGTATGAGCAGGATGTGGTCCCACCGAGAGGGAGAAGAGCCAAGGCCAGGCTGGACGAGGCTCGGAGCAATCTGGGAGAGTGGAAGGTGTCCCTGCCCATGGCAGGGGGTTGGAACTGGATGACTGATCCCTAAGGTCCCTTCCAAGCCAAACCATTCCATGAATCTGTGATTCCAAGAGCAGGATCATCTGACAGGCCCACAGGGTGGGTCAATGGTTGGAAGCAATTTTAGGCTAAAACACCCCAAATTAAAGGAAATCTTTGCTAAAGACCAAGGTGTCCTTCAAACCAGCAAGGTCTGAGGAATCAGGTGAGCTTGTCCCTCTGGCAGCCACATCCTACCTGGACGTCCCAGAGGATTCAGTGGGAAATCACTGAGTGAGGAGCAGTCTCATCTCTTGCCCCCGTGTCACCTCCGAGTTGCTGCTGCTGGAGAAGGTGGGGACAGTTTCCATGGAGGAAGGGCAGAGCCAGAGGGTGATGTGGCCCCCTGAGTCTGATGCTCAGTAGAAGGAGGAATGGCAAAAGCAGCTCTCCCATCCAGCTGTATTTTGGGAACCTGGAGAGTAATTGCAAACCCCCTAATTTCTTTGGAAAGCTGGACTAATGATACCAGTGACTGTCCCGTTCTCTCTGGGATCATAAAAGCCTTCTTTTCCATTGGCTGCTCCAGTATTCCTGTCAACAGCATCCCACTGGCTCCTAATCACTCCTCCCAAGGGAATGCCAACAACAGCTTTACCTCCATCCTCAGTCCCATCAGCATGGAATCATTGGAAAAGCCCTCTAAGATCAACGAGTTCAACCACTAACTCAGCGCTGCCAAATCCAACACATGTCCCCAAGCACCACACCCACACGGTTTTTAAACACTTCCAGGGATGGTGGTTCCTCCACTTCCCTGGGCAACCTGTTCCAGTGCCTGACCACCCTTTCAGTGATGAGATTTTCCCTAATATCCAACCTAAACCTCCCCTGGTGCAACTTGAGGCCGTTCCCTCTTATCCTATCACTTGTTACCTGGGAGAAAAGACCAGCCCTCCTTTCAGAGCATCTCCTTTTTCTCACTCCCAGCAAACTCAGCTGCCACTTTATCCCTGCTTTATTCCTGCAACTTGCCTGTTGTCCTTGCAATTTCCCCCTGTCATCGCTGATCTTTGCACTGCCCAGGCCAGCCACAGCTCGTGTTTCCCTGTCCAGGACTGTGGGATATTGTCTTGGAGCCAGAAGTGCTGCAGTGGCTCACCACAGCCCCACGTCCTGCTGGCTGCCTGTGACTGATCTTCCGGGGCACAGCCTGGGGAATATTCATGAAATAGCGTTTGGGATGAAGAATTGCTGCTCGTGTGGGTTTGGGGATGAGGGTTTGTGCTCAACACCCTGAGAAAAAGCTGGAGAAAATGAGTTTATTGTAGCAGCATTAACCCCCAGGGCTGGCTGCAGTGGTTAATCCCTGATTTCTGCTGGTGGAGGGCTTATGGGTGGATAAATAAATGCCAAGGATGAGCCCTCACGAGTGGGAGCCTCAGGCTGTCCTGCTGCCACAGGGTTTTGGGCAGTGGGAGAGCAGAGAGTGGAAAGCTGATGGAGCTTGTGCTGGTGAAGAACAGAGAGAGAGTCTCTGTCCCTTGTCACCATCCTCTCATCCGTGAGGATTTCTGGGTTGCCCCAACACGCCTGCCTGGATGAGAGGTGTTCCACCAAAGGGGGAATTTTCCCTTTGGGATAGTGCTTAGCCAGAGATGCTGTCATGGAAGTTCTGGGAGCTGTGTTGTCCCTCCAGCAAGGTTTCAGGTCCCCTAATTTTAGTGAGGACAGACAGACATTCAGAGAGGGCTGGCACAGACCTCCCAGGGGCTCTCGGTGTTGCAGGTCTCACCCATGCTATTACTCGTCTCAAACCATCCCCTGAGCTGATTTAATGCACCAAACTGGCAGAGTTGTAGTTTCTGACACTGAAATGTTTAAATGTGACTTTACCAGCTGCAAAACTCTGTGATAAAGGAAAAGCAAACCCAGAAAAAAGTTGAGTAAAAGTATGGGAGAGGGAAAAGCAAATGAAGGCTTGAACTGGCCCCCTCGTTCTTCTCCGTTTTCAATTTTATTTCTCTTGCTGCCCTTGCACATATCTACATGTGGGGTTTGATACAAGTTGGGCGATGGCTGGGAAGCAGCATGGGAATGCGTGGGGATAGCCAAGGGCATCCCATGGAATGGCTGATCCCCATGACATGGTGGGTGCAGCAGGGATGTGGCACCAGCAAAGAGCTGGATCCAGCTGTGAGTCCACCTTGGGCTCTGGAGTTTCAGCCCAGCTGTGCTTCCAGATATGGGACTTTCCCCCTTCTCCTGGGCCTCCAAAAAGCACCCACAGCTCTTGCTCTTGGCACATTCCCACTTGCAGGGAGAGGAGAAAACCCCTCTGGGCATCAGCTCCCTGCATCTCCAGATGGTTTCAGGCCAGGCTGAGGTTTCCTCAGCCCCGTTTCTCACACCCAACACGTGCCAGGGGGGCGGGCAGAGCTCTCCATGTGCCAAGGTCACCTCAGATCACATCTGTGCCAGCCTTGACTTCCCCACCTGCTCTGCCTGTGGCTGACAAGTGTCACCTCCAAGCAGGGCCAGCCCCAAACTGAACACTCTGTACCTCCTGGCACCACCAGGAGCTGATCTGTCCCCCACACACAGGGGTGTGTGATAAGGTTATCTCACCCAGGACATGCAGGCAGAGCCCAGTCCTGCCCCAGGGCCTGCTGGAGGAACACACTGGGCGTCCCCAGCTCCTGCAAAACGGGTCCCTCCGCTCAGGGTTTTGGGATCGGTGGGGTTTAGGGGCTTGCAATCGATCCTGGAGATTTTAGCAGGGTCATTCAGGGCCAGACGACACCCCCACACACACACACTCCCTGCAGAGCTGCTCGTTGCTGGTGGATGGCCTGGAACCGAATTGCAGCCACTGGAGAACAGGAATTGCAGATGACAGGGGATGACTCACAGCCATTCCTTGGACTGTGGGATGAATTCCAGCAGAAAGAGCTGCAGCCAAACCCGAGGCTATCCAGGCCCTTCATATTCCACTTCCCAGAGCGCCAGGGAATGTTCAAGAAGGAAGCAGAACAGCACCTTCAGCTCCGTGATTTTAACAGGGATTTCCCATCCCTGGAAACATTCCAGGCTCTGAGCAACCTTTTAAAGGTCCCTTCCAACCCAATTATTCCATAATTCCGTGTTTTTATTTCAGTGCAGTGCTTATTAGAATTCCCACTGCTAAACATTATAATTTAAGACAGAGCTGCTGACAAAGTTTTTCCAGGAGTGTTACAAGGAGGATGGGGGCAATTGGTGGGTCCTGCAGAAACAGAGGTAGGAGAGAATTAAAACAGTGGAAAACAGGAAGTTTTCCAGCAGGTTAGCCAAAATGTCCCTGGAAGAGAATGCGTCCATGTGGTTTTAGGAGATTTTAGGCTCGGCAGGAGAAGGAATGGAGGTGTTTAAGGAAACACTGGGCATGGCACTCAGTCCTACGGTCTGGTTGACGGGGTGGTGATGGGTCACAAGTTGGACTCCATGATCTCAGGGGTCTTTTCCAACCCGAATTGCCTGTGATTGTGTAATGACTACGGGGGAGCAGCCGGGCTGGGCAGCCCTCGGGCAGCCCCACAACCAAACCGCGGGAGGTGGGAGCGCTTTAGGGTGTTCCCCTCTCTCCCTCCACGGCCGAGGAGCCCGGGGAGCGGCCGATCCCTAAATTCCATCCTCAGGATCCCCTTTGATCTCCCAGCCCCGATCGGGATCGCCCGGGGGGGCGTGGCCACTGCAGAAGGGGGCGTGGTCTGTGCGGGCAGGGGGCGTGGCCAGCGGCGCGGCCCCTGTCCCGCCGGCAGGTGTCGCCCTGCCTCGGGGACGCGCACAAGATGGCGGCGGGCGGTGGCGGCGGCGGGCGCGGGCTCCCCTGACGGCGCCGCCATGTTGGTGAGGGCGGTAACGGCGCCGGGGCTCCGCCGCCTGTGCCGGGGCGGGCGGGGCTCTCCCGTCGCCTGCTTCCCGCCGGGCCGGGCGCTGCTGGGCGTGCGCGGCGCCGAGGCCGCCGTGTTCCTGCAGGGGCTGCTCACCAATGA